CAACACTCGAATGGGTTTGGCCTGAGGCAGGAGGATCGTTGCAAGTTCGAGGCCAGCCTGGGCTACAAAGTGAGCTCAAAGTCAGCCTGAACTGCATAGCAAGACCCTGTCTCAAAAAGAAAAATAAATAAATAAATAAATAAAAAATAAAAAGAGCCTATGGAAATTGTTACAAAAATAGAAACTTAGATCAGTTGAATAGAAGATACCTCAGAATAGACCTGGTCTTGTATACAAGGGGGCTTAGTGTTTACAAAGACCATATGATTTGAGAGAGGAGTTATTTAATAAGTGGTACTAAGATAACAGGATGGCGGTGTACAAGATAGAGTCCGAGTACTATCCACATAAGGTATGGATGGAACTGCTTGGACCTATAGAGTGGCCCAGGGGCCACATCGGTGCCTAAAGAAAGGTAGCTGAGTGGAATTTTAACTTTTTATTTAGAAGTAATTTCTAACTCATAAAAGGTTACAGGCATAAGAATAGTACAAGGAATATTCATATCCTTCATTATTTGTACTTTATGTCCCCCAGGCGTGCGTGCATGGGTATGTGTGTGTGTGTGTGTGTGTGTAAGAGAGAAAGAGAGAGAGAGATGCAGTTACTACTTAAAGGTATGTTGCATACATTATGGTCCTTTACCCCTAAGTACTTTGTGTGTGTGTGTGTGTGTGTGTGTGTGTGTGTGTGTGTGTGGGAGAGGGAGGGAGGGAGAGATGCAGTTACCACTTAAAGGTATGTTACATACATTATGGTCCTTTACCCCTAAGTACTTCAGCGCACATTTCCTAAAAATAAGATAGCCTTTTGTGTAAGGCGTGGTGGTTTTGTCTAATCTGTTTGTATTCAGATTCTGTTACTTTATAGCATTTCCTCCTTTACTGACAGTCGAGGATCTAGTCCAGCATTAACTATTCATTTGGTTGTCAGGTCTCTTTAGCCTCTTTTAACTTGGAACATTTTCAGTTTTCCTCTGACTCTGTGTGTGTGTGTGTATACATTTAAGCATTTTTTCCATTGGCATTATATGCATTCACAGTGTTGTATAACCGTCACCACTGTCCATTCATTTTCGAAACTTCTTCATTCCAAACAGCAGCTGTAGGGGCTGGGGATTTAGCTCAGCGGCAAAGCACCTGCTTGGCAAGCGCAAGGTCGTGAGTTCTGTTCCCAGTACCAGAGAAAAACCAAAAAAAAAAAAAAAAAAAACGACAAACAACAGCTGTAACCATTAAACAGTAACGTCCCGTTGCCCCAGCAGCTGCCCCCAATACCTGCTGATCTACTTTCTGGCTCTGCTGCCTACTCTAGGGACTTCATGTAAGTGGTGTTATTTCACAACTGACTTATTTCTCAACATAAAGTCTCCAAGGTTCATCATGTTACATTATGCATCAGAATCTCCGTCCTTGTTAAGGCTAATGTTCCCTTGTATGCATATGTCACGTTTCTCTTCTGTTAGTGAACACCAGGGTTGTCTCCACCTTTGGCGTCAGTGAGTGAGGTCGCTGATAGCCTTCATGTGCAGGAAGTGTCTGACTCCCTGCTTTCAGTTCTGTGGGTTGATGCCTAGGAGCAAGACCATGGGCCTGCTTGTATGTTTTATATTTACGCTTCCACGTAAAATTTCCTTTCCAGAAGCTTAATGGCTAAAACCATTTGGGAAAACTACTGTTTGGTGTAACCAAAATGAATCAGTATGCTGTAATAACAACTCAGGAGAAAACTAAGTTTTTTTATATTCGCTTTTTTGAAAAGGTGTGATTTCCATAATTTTAATTAAAGGAAGTACAAAAGATACGAAGTTGATCATACACATTTAAACTTAAAAAGCCTTTAGCACATCTTAGATTTACCATTGGTAATGTACAGAAATATTTGAATTTTAAGGCTAAGGAGTTCAGTCAGCTGTTTACCACGGGCTGAGCTTTGCTTCTGCGTGTGAAACTGGAAGCAGATCTGGAGAGAGCCTCGGCCCCTCCTGGGCCAGCCCGGGCCGTCCTAGTCAGAGGCATGAGGAAGACACCTGGAGGTGGTTGGGCCCTCGGGAAAGCAGCATTCTGAGTGGACAGGATCTTTTAAAAAGCAGGATAGCAGGTTGTACCAAAAGCTGTCAAATGCATAAGCCTTTGCCACCCAACACTTTCACAGGAAGGGTCATTTTTTAGTTGCATTAACATTTTAAAAATAATAATTGCAAAAAGGAGGGTCACATAGAAATCAGTGAACAATTATATACATACATAGATTCTTCTTAACTAGCCTTTTAATATCTACAGTCCTGGTTTTATTAATGAATTATGATAGAAACTCTGAATTTCTTCTTCTAAGGTAGATTTAGACTGTAAATTCAGCCCCCCAATAAAGGAGCGAGATTTATCTCTATGTGCCCATGGATGTAGTATACACAGCAGCTTTCTAGCAGTGTTGAATATTACTATACCATATTATAAAAGTTGTTAAAAAGTACTGTAATTTTAAAATTAATTTTACAGTTGTGCTACTGAACTTTGGTATTATTATGTTTGCAAGCAACACCAGCTAGTAATAATTAATTTTACAAGTAATTGAGCTAGAAATAAGTATTTCTGGTAGTGATAATTAACACAAAAATAAAACCAAAAGTGGCCAGGAGTGGTGGTGCATACCTATAATCCCAGCACTTGGGAGGCTAAGGCAGGAGGATCACCTCAAATTCAGGGTCAGCCTGGGCTACATAGTGAGTTCAAGGCCAGCCTGAACTGCACAGTGAAACTTTGTCTTTAAAAAAAAAAAAAAAAAAAGTTAAAACCAAAATAACTTTTTGGTTTTTTTTTTGGTACTGACACTCAAACTCATGACCTCAGGCTTGCCAGGCAAGCACTTACGCTGCTGAGCTACATCCCTGGCCCAACTTTGGTTTTCTGTTTTTGTTTTTGTTTTTGTTTTTTGGTACCAGAAATCTAACTCAGAACCTTGCACTTGCCAGGCTGGCACTTGTGCCTCTGAGCTATGTCCCTGGCCCCAAAATAACTTTTCTAAGGCAATTTTAGCCAAAATGTACAGAGTTTGATATGGAAAGTTTAGAAGTGGGGGAAAAAAGAATGAAGTGGCCTAAGTTAATTTTAGGTCTTATTTTGTGTGTTTCGTGTGTGTGTGTGACCAACACTCAGGCTAGTCTTAAACTTAAATGATCCTCCTGCCTGAGATTCCAGAGTGCTGGGATTATGGGCCTGGGCTACCACATCTGGCTCCCAATTTTTTTTTTTTTTTTTTTTTATTTTCTCCGGTACCGGGAACCGAACTCACAACCTTGCGCTTGCCAGGCAGGCGCTTTGCCGCTGAGCTAAATCCCCAGCCCATCTGGCTCCCAATTAACTGTAGTAAAATTAATGCAAAAAAGTTGGAAATAGTGTAAGTGCTATATAGAAAATAGATTAAGAAATTGGACAAAAAAAATTTTAAAACGGCTTTCTCAAAAATTAATCAGTATTATATTTTAGTAGAATATCCATCCATAATCATAAATAGGAATAAAAAACGTCCCACGTCAGTACACTGGTAGAGTTGACAAAAATAAGTATATGTTAAAGTAGTCTGCACCCACCACCAGCTTCTGCACCTTCTCACACACATGCAGCCCACATCCAAGGCTCAAGCCTCCCTGTCCCTGATGCTCCAGGAGCTTGTGTTGAGCCCGGCTATGTCTGGCAGCTTGGACTGAGGTCTTGTGGATGGTGTCTGAACACTCTGAATGCTAAATGAACTTGGCTGACTTCAAATGTTACTTCCGTTTTGACTTTTGCTTTAATTTCATCAAGTATTTCTGGTACTGGCAATGTGTCTTTCAGGATTAATTTATAACTATCTTTAAATGTAGAAAATTTTTCTTAGAAAATGTAGATATCTTAAAAGCAACAAATAACTATTTTTCCACTTTCAGTAAACATATTTATGGAGTACTACAGGAAGTTTCCCCCCGGGATGCATTTTGACTTACAAGTGCTCAACGAGCTCCTGCTTTCTTTACTCAGATACTGCCTACTGAAGGAAGTATTTCAGGTAGTGAACCTCAGCATAATGATTAAAATGCTGGTAAGTAACCTGAGAACGTCATTTTTAGAAAATATTTTACATGAGTATCCTTGTTGTTTTTTTTAAGTTAGCAGATAACTTTCTGTGTTTGTTAAATACTTCCTAGAGAAAGCTTGTTCTTCAGCGTAAACAAATTTGAGAAACTTAAAGTGTACTGAAAGAAGGTATTAAAATGAATGTAACTTTTTTGTTTTATTCAGCCTGCTCTAAAAATATTACTACAAATATTTGAGCATGTGGCAACTATGAAATTAAGGAATGCTGTACCTGCTTTAATTGATATCTTTTGTAAGGTACGATTTCTCTCTTTTATTTTCTAATTTGAATATCCAAGAAAGTAATTATTTCTACATTCACCCTTTACATCCTGGATGTCAGAGAATACTATTTTCAGAAATGGTTGATTTTTCCTCCTGGAATAGTTTGTAGACAGACTCTGGTAACTGACAAGCCTTCCCCTTAAGCGAATAGTTCCACGCACCCTAAGTGACTGCTTTCTGATTTGTAAATATCTTCGTCTCTATTCTTCAAGCATAGAGAAAATTCTTTCTCTAAAAGATGTGAGGTCATTTATAATAAAAATAAGTGAATTAATAACTAAATAGAAAATTGCGACCAAAACAAAATAGAAACATAGTATCTAAGAATTTGTTTTAAATTTGGTACTAGCCAGGCGTGGTGGTGCATGCCTGTAATCCCGGTGCTCAGGAGGCTCAGGCAGGAGGATTGTGGGGAGTTCGAGGCCAGCCTGAACTACATAGCGACAGCCTGAACTACATAGCGAGACCCTGTCTCAAAAAGACTAAAAACTACACCATAACCACTCTCACAGATGGGTGGATATTTGAGTGAATGCGTTCAGTTCCACACTAGGAGGCTTGACAGAATGCGTGTTTGGAAATATTAACTCAGAAGTTGCTTACCACTATATAGCTGTTGCAAACCTCAGTGAGAGGGTTGAGTGTGGCTCGGTGTAGAGCACATGCCCAGTGTGCTCAGAGTCCTGGGCTCGGTCCCCAGCACCTCAGAGAGAAATAAAAAAGGAAACCTCATGAGGATCGCATAAAGTGTCTGACACTGAATAACTTCACTTTCTGCAAAATGTTTCCCAGTTACTGTCCAAATAAAATTACCTTTAGTGGTGACCATCTGACAGAGACAGTGTGTCATTTTTGCTTGGTTAATATGAGCCTGGTTTCTGGGACAACTTTAAAGGTGTCACCAAATCTGAGGTAATTTTACTGAGAGTCCAGAGGTAGGGAAAAAATCTCAGCAACTATTTGCTATTATTTTTCTTCATTAAACTGAATTCTGCCTTAAAATACACATCAGTTAGAAATTCTAGCCACCCATGGGGGCACACACCTATAATCCCTGCACTGTGGAGGGTGAGGCAGGAGAATTGTTTTGAGTTCGAGACCAGCTTGGGCTATGAAGTGAGCTCAAGGCCAGCCTGAATTGCGTAGGGAGACCCTGTCTGAAAAAGACAAAAAAAAAGAGAGCGCAGTTCTAACAGCTGTCTAGGTGTGGCGGCGTATACTTGTAATTCCAGCACTCTGGGAAGCTGAAGTAGGAGGGTCTCAAGTTCAAGCCCAGACTGGGCAGCTTGGCAGCTCAATGAGACCTGCCTCAAAGTAAGAAGAGGACTAGGGATGTAGCCTAGTGTGAAGGCCCTGGGTTCAACCCCCAGTACCCCCCCAGAGATAGTTCTAATATCAGACTTACAGCTTCTTAGATAGGCATGTGTTATTGCTTGGGGTAGGTAGCTTCTCTTTTAGTCTCCCCTGCTATTGTTTTGCTGTCCTACCCCAAATTCTTATTTCCTGGTACTGCTTTCAAATCTAGGCTGAAGAGGTAAGGCACAATTCACCCAGACATTCCAAAAAGAAGGTCTGATACTTTAATAATTTCTGAATAGGAAGGAATTCCCAAAAACCAGAATGGAACCATAGAAGATTCTTAGTAAAAATGTTGCTCACGGAATGTCACACAGCTCTCAGCTGAATCTGTCATAATCCTGTGCCCACCCTGCTCATAGTAGCCTGGGGCAGAGCTGTAATAAGACTGTCAGCCTGCAGCCTGTGTGCTCCAGCCCTTCCGGGGTAGCATCGTGCCCCAGAAGAGCTGTCGGAGGAGCCCTTCCTTTGTGCATTCCCAGGGCAGACTCCTAGCTGTCTCCAGTAAAGCCAAGGTACACGAAGAAGACAGGAAATGAGGCAAATGTGAACTAAGGAAAAACTGTCACATGGGTCTTTTTAAAGTGACGTAGTGTACTGATTATACATGGGCCGCGAGTCGTACCTGGGCTGTCACAGACTGTTCTCTGGCCGCAGCCCCCTTCGGAGGAGGCTCACAGGCGGCTGCACTGAAAGCACCTGAGCCCCACTGAGGAGGGGCAGGTGGTAAACGGTGCACTGACTTCGACAGGAGAAAGTTCAGTTTTTACATTGAAAACTCATTATTTTTACTTTAAATTCTTAAGGTGTGTTTGTGGTTGTCAAACGTTGGAGAAAATATGCTCAGGATTTTTTATTGAGTTTCAGTTTCAACATGCATCAGCTCTCGCGGCAGTGTTGGTTGTTCACGCACATTGGCTTCTCAGCTCTTCCACAGCGTCACAGTAACTACTTTTTTCTCTTCTGCAGCTTGTTGAAGCTGGGATGGTGCTTGACCCAGAACATTTTAACTATATTGTTAAGCTTTTATGCCAACTGCAGGCTTCCAAACAAGACATAGCTGCAATTTTGGAAATCAAATCCAGGTGAGAAAAATCATTATTGTTAAGGCTAGAATATGTATACTCTAGCAAGGACCTATACAGGATGACGGCAGAGCGCTTTGAACTGCGCATCTGCACAAGCATCTGTATGGCAGCCATCGGGAGCCCTCCCAGCTCTTCGTGACGCCTGCCTCACCGAGCCCCTCAGTGCCTCACTTCACCCCAGCACCTGGTACATGAAGTACAAAAGAGTCCTTTTCTTCTTGTGCACTCGCATCTTGTCATTTTAGTTTAATAAAATGTCTTAGTGCCTCTTGTGTTAGCTTTTTTCTGTTGCTATGACAAATGCCTGAGAAAACCAACTTACCGAGGGAAAGTTTACTTTGGCTCACGATTTCAGCGCTTTCAGCCGTGGTCCTTGGTCCTGCTGTTCCTGCACCTGTGCTGAGGCAGCACATAATGGCAGGGAGTGTGCAGCGGAGTGGACCAGCCACCTCATAGTAGCCAGGAAACAGAGTGAGCACAGAAGGGGCCAGGGAGGGGCCGTGCCCTTTACAGACACACCCACTGCCCTGTTTCCTGCTGTGCCTGTGCCTTGCAGGAGGTCAGAGCCCACGTGATCTAGTCGCTTCCCACAGCCGCACGTCGGAACACTGCTGCCCAGCTGCAGCACGTACTCCATGTGCCCGCCTGGCGCCTCTCCTGCATTGCATTCGTTCTCTGTTTGGCCATGGCCTCTGGAGGCCTTGGCTTTTTAACCTCTGATAATATACACTATTTTTACTAAAGTATAACTTACATAGAAAAAATATACAAATTATGAGTACCTCAATGAACCATAACTTTTTAAATAAAATGAGATTTGATAAAGACTAAATGGCATCAACCACCCAAGCCCTTCAGAATTCTCAAAACTCTGTATCTCATTCTTCTCTATCTGCTAATGCAGAGGTTCCCAGATTCTCTTGGTGCAGAGTCCCAAGGCCAAAAGAAATACATTAGCAGTCCCATTCATTAAAGAGTTAGATCCAGAGCAGTCAGTGGTAGCATTCGTGCAGTATCTGACAGTGGCGCTGGGAGATGCCAGCACACCGCAGTGCCACCCTATGGTTTCGTGGGGAGCCCTACATGCCTTGGTGCAGTCAGGGAGCCGCAGCTCTTGGGGATGCTGCTGCCCACCAGGCACCAGCAGCGAAGTTAATTGGAGTTTTTCATTTTAACTCCTGGTGGCCAACATTATTTATGTTCCTACGAAAATTAGAACTTGTACTTGGATTAAATAGATTTGAAGATCTACCTAGGAGGTGAAATTCTGTGAGAAAAGTACAGTTCATTTAGCTCACACTTCTGGAATGTGATCCATTTTAAGTAGGATGTCCCAGTGTTCTGAACATTAAGTTCATTCTTTCCCTGGGCCATGTGCGCTCTGGGCTACGGCAGGGAGGTTAAGTGGCTGGAAGATTTTAGTCTTTTGCCAGATAGAGTCGCAGCCAGCCTAGGGAAGTGTGCGCAGAAGCTGGAGGGGGCAGCATCCTTGTACCAGGGCAGCCCCAGACCTCCCCGCTTCACACAGTGGCTGGGAGTGAGATCTGTTGTGTGGGAAGCCTGGAACACACCACCCGTTTTCAGATTTTGAGAATGACAGCCCTGCAGTTGTTCCTACAGTCCTTCACACTCGCCCAGTGCAGAGTGGTTTGCAGTGTTCTTTACAAGGTGCTAATGCTGGTGTCCTGTTGCATGGACAGGAGAGTGTTGAGGGAACAGGGACGTAACCGTGAGGCGTTAAGGGTGTGGGTCATGATTGGGCTTGACCCAGCCCCAAAGGAAAAGAAATTCGTGCATATTATTTTATGCTTGAATTTTCCTAACTCCATGTGAAATAATTAACCTTTCCATGATACAGAAATGAGTTTTAATGGATATTAATACTTCGATTTTTGTATTTTTTAATTAGCTAGTTTACAGTTCATTTGAAAGGTTTTCAAAATACATATGCTGGCCACAAGAATTTGAACATTTATTGAGAATTTGTTTGCCTAACAAGAAATTTGTTAATATACATTCAGTGATTATTTTAAGATATTTACATTGATAGCAATTACCGACATGTCAGGACTTCTGTCTTCTATTTTACTATTTCTTTTTTTTTTTTTTTTTTTGGTACTAAGAATCAAACTCAGGACCTTGTGCTTGCCAGGCAGGCGCTTGTGCCACTGAGCTATATCCCCGGCCATATTTTACTATTTCTTTTGTTTGACTCCTGTTTCCCTTTCTTTGTCTTCTTGTGGGGATTATCTATATTGTTTTTGTGTCTCTATGTATAGGTTTTTTAGTAATTGCTCTAATCAGTTTATCTTTTGACACAGTGATCCCATTTCTAAGAATGTACCCTGATATACTTCTATTGATACAAAAATCCATATACCAATGATTATTCAAAAGAGCATCATTTATAATTGCATAATATCAGAGATCACCTAAATGCCCACGCACTAGGTAAATAACATATGATATATGTATACATGGAGTACTGTACTTCAGAGCTGTAAAAGAGAAGAATGGGGAACCCCACTATGAGCTGATTTAGAGTGACGTCCAGGATATACTGCTGGTGAAGTGTTCTATATGCAGCCCTTACAGGACAGCAGTTGGAGGGTGATTCTGTACCCTCTACAGGAAATGCATTCTCCTCCAAAGGAAGGTTAAAAACTGAAGGAGGAAAGCAATACATCACAACACATTAGTTTTTAAAAGGGCGCAAGTGGCTCATATTACTATCAAATAAAGTAGACGTCATAGCAAAGAAAATTACCAGGGACAGGAAGACTATCTACTTAGGAAATGACCAGTGCACCCAGGAGACAGTTACCGTAAATGTGTGTGCCAAGCACCAGAGCTTTAGAGTACGTGAAGCCAAGTGACAGAACTGAAAGGAAGAGCAGACAGATCTGTCGTTACAGAGGAGAAAGGACTTGAACATCCCTCTCTTGGCAATTGAGAGATACTAGGAAATCAGAGATAAAATAAATACCACCACCATTTGTCAACGGGATCTGATAGACATTTACAGAAGTTTCCCAAGACAGAACACACATTCTTTTCAAGCACCTATGGGATATTCCCCAAGGGAGACCCGTAAGCTGAAAAATAAAGCAAACCTTAAAAAATCTAAAAGAATTCATACAGATTGCATTCTCTCACCTTAATGGAATCAACATTGGAAAACAATGAAGAATAAATGGAAAATCTCCCAGTGCTTAGAAATTAAATAACATGGCATACTTCCATACATCTGTGGATGAAGAGGAAGTCTCAAAACTCAACTTATAACTGAGTAAAAGTGAAACATTACAGTTTTGTAGACAGTTAAGGCAGTACATACAAAGAGAAAGATCTGTAGCCCTAGGTATTCCAAGCTCCTAACTCCATATATAAGAGCAAAAGAAATTCAAAGCCCAGAATCTACCAAGAGTGGTCCTAAAACTAATAAGTGGGTACAGCAAGGTAGCAGAATAAATGTCAGCACACAAAAGCAGTCGCATTTCTATACACTAGTAATGAAGTGGGGAAGCCAGATTTTGAAACACAGCACTATTTGTGAGGACTCAAAAAAATGAAATACCTAAAAATTTAACAACATATAACTCGTGCTGAAAGTTACAAAATGCTTGTGGAAGACATCAGAAGGGTAACTAAATGGAGCTACGTACTATGAATTGAGAGACTAATTATAATAAAGATACAAATTTTCCCAAAAGTAATCCATTGGTTTAATACTATTTTATATCTGAATGTAGCAGGGACTTCTGTATGTATCAAAAGCTTATTCTAAGATTTACATTCAAAGGTAAAAGAACTAGAATAACTAAAACAACTTCTGAAAAAAGAATAAAGTGAGAGGATTCACTCCTCCTGAGGTTAGACTTGCTGTGTAGCTACAGTGACAATGACAGTGTGGTATTGGGTGGTGAAAGAGTGAGTTTGGAACTTTTCTTCTCATACATTTAGGCATTATTTTTATATCTTTGTGTGAGTTGTCTGATTTTGTCTTATTTTTACCTCTTTGGGGTTCTAGGTTCCTTCATGTTTGAGATTTATAATATAAATATTAGGCCTTTGTCTGTGGTATACATATATTAAAATTTTTTTAACTCGTCACTTACTTTGATTTTGTGGTGCTTTTTGCCATGCAAAAATTTCTATTTGTGTGCAGCCTAATGTTTCAGTCCTTTCTTATTGCCGTTAGTTTTGAGCTGTTTTTTATTGCCTCTGGATTTCATGTCTTAATTTCAAGGAAAATACTCATGGTTCCTTCTGCTGCTCATACAGTTCCACTGTTACAGTTAGATTCCTCATCTGTTTGAGTTTATTCTTAGGTGTGCTGTGAGAAACAGATTTAAGTGTGTCTTTTCTAAATGGTCGCCCAACTTTCCCAGCAACGTGTAAAAGTCCATCCTTACTGCCAGTGACTTGCGAGGCCATCTCCATCTGAGATAGCAAATGTCTTACTATCTACTAGAAACCTGGGTCTGTTTCTACTCCTTGTATGTTATCCCACGGCCTGTCTGCTCCTGCACTGGTACTACACTATTTCAGTTACAGAGGCTTTCATAGTTTGTTTTAATATTTGGTAGGGCTGCTCCTCTTTCATAGTTGTACTTTTTCAGTGTTATTTTCTGGATCTTACAGGAATCTTTTTCCATATATTTAATACCAACTTCCTAACCCCACATAGTAACTTGTTGGTATTTTTATTGTAACTACATTATGTTTATGAATGAGCTTTGTTAAGATTAACATTTGTAATATGTCATTCTATTCAAGAACAAGGAATGTCTTTTCAGGTTTACTTACAGGTTTTCAGAAGTGTGTTATATTTCTCCTCATATAAATATTTAATATTTTTGGTGCTATTTGAGGTTTTCTGTACCATTAAGTACTCTAGAGTGACGTGTGTGTGTGTGTGTGTGTGTTTTGTACTGGGAATTGAACTCAGGACCTTGTGCTTGCTAGGCAGGTGCTGTGCCACTGAGCTATATCCCTGGCCCTTTGTGTATAATATTATATTCTACTCCCATACTCGGAAGTCATTAATATTGCAACTAGTTTCACTCTAGAATCTCTGACATTCTCCTGCTATGCTGTCACAGCATCTGCAGATAGACCTTCTCCTAAGACTTGTTCTGTCTGACTGCGCTGGTTCATATCTCCAGCACAAGTTGACCAGCGGTTAAATTGCATTCATCCATGCGTGGCTCCCCATCTTGATGGAGATGCCTCTGGAATTTTCTCATGCATATGCTTCTGACTTGGAGGCATATATATGTGATTGTTTCTAGGGAATGATCCTTCAGGGGCCCGGAGTGGTGGCACACGCCTGTAATCCCAGCACTCAGGAGACTGAACAGGAGGATCCTTGCTAGTTTGAGACCAGCCTGGGTTACAAAGTGAGCTCAAGGCCAGCCTGAACTGTGTAATGAGACTGTCTCAAAAAGACAAA